CAGAGAGGGCAGAGCTGAGCTCAGAGACAAGACCTGAGTAGGCTGCGGCCACCTGAGGTAGCGGTGCAGCAGAAATGTAACTCCCAGTCTGTTGGGCCTTTACAAAGCAGAACAAGACCACGGCCAACTCATGCCAAGCTAGAGAAACAAGCAAATGGTGCTGCCTGGACACCCTGGGCCCACTGGGGCAGCATGGGAGGGTCCTAGCCCTTGGCTACCTAGAGACAGATGTGGCTGAGCTGGGAGACCTGCCCAGGCATGGCGGCTGGCCAAGAAATGAAAAAGGGCAGTGTCTGCACCTGGAGCTTCCACACTACTGAGAGAACCACCTTCTAAAGGCACCAGAGGGACCAAACAAAGTAACGAAAATAGGTGTTCTCTTAGACAGCAAGTCCTTGCCATATTCACAGTACTGCTCTCTCTTTCTTCCACTGAGAGCCTACCATGTGCCTGGTGTATAGCTGAGAACAAATCAAAGCTCTTGCCTCAAGAAACTCATGCATATCCTAGGGAAAGGGAATGTTTACACCACCCTCTGCCCTACTGCCTGTGGACCGTGCACTGGCAAAACAGGGTGCCCATCTCTGTACCAGCCCCTGGTGCTCAGCAAGGGCTCCAGTTGAGGCCTTCATGTCCACTGTGTCCCCAGAGGCCATGGCTCACTGCACCCTATCCTGTCACCCCTCTGTCTTTCCCTGTTTTCAGAGGGCAGAGCGTTCCCTGACTGTTATCTGTTACTCTTCATTGTTCCCAAACAGGACACAAGATCTGTGGAGGCAATAACATGTCTCCTCCACAGCGGCGTTCCCTCACTGGATGATCCCTGCATACCAGAGTAAATGGTGACCACATGCCTCACTGTGGTTGCTGGGACATGTTCAGTGCTCACTTGTGTCTGTGGTCTTTCGTTTTTTAACAGCTTCAATGAGGCACAACTGATAGACAACAGCATGCATATATTTAAGGTACGTCATCCTATTCTTCCCAGAAAACTGAGTCCAGACCGTCATTTTTCAGTAAGACATAAAGAGGTTCTGGCATAAGAAAGAGATATTTGGAATCCAATTTCGGCAATAGCTGACTAGGCAAAGAAAATCTCGCAATTGGCGCTTAGTTTTGGGCCTTGAGAAACTTAGGACACCATGAAGCCTATGTGGATCCAAGTGCAGTCCTTGTTGAAATATCAGATGTCTCAAGTATTGAACCTGAGTTTGGAAAAATTGTAATTTTTCTTTGAGACCTTATGTCCCTACAAGGCCAAAGTTCTAACAGATGGATACTATCTTCCTGTGAGGAGACCTGAATAGACGAGTAAAGAACCTTTAGGGAAAATTATATCGTCCAAATTAGTCTCCAAAATTTGTGAGAAATAAAAAGGACTTTCAGTAAAACCCTGAGGCATTGCTGCCCAGGTAAATTGTTTTCCTTCACAAGTGAAAGCAAAAAGGTATTTGCTAGCTTCATCAACTGGGATACTAAACAATGTGCTACATAAATCAATTACCGTAAATAATTTGTTTCCAGTTGGGATAGATGCTAGCAGCATATGAGGTTAGGAACGAGGGATAACAATGTGGTTTACTGCTCGGAGGTCCTGGACAAACCTCCAACCCTCAACCTTTTGGCTTTCTCACAGGCAAAATAGGAGTGTTACAAGGACTAGCACACAGAATAATAAGGCCCTGAGTTATGTAATATTCTATGATAGGCTTTATACCTTGAAGGGACTCTTTATTTATAAGATAGATTGATTCTGGGAAGAGGTTTTGAAGGATCGATCTGAATCTTAATAGGAGGTACACTGTGGATTCTGCTAATATGAGCTGAAGATTTTGCCCATAATGAAGATGGCAGTTGATCTAATAGGAACAATTGATCAGTGCTCTCAGATTCAGCTACTGTACCATCAAAACAGAACAAAAAAAGATGTTAAAAGGCCATTTAACTCACCTAATCAGCCATTCTGACAGTTACCATGAAACTCCAACATTATTTCTCCCTTTTGGGAAAAGGATATTCCAGCGTGATACTTCTCTAAGAAGTCTCGGCCTAATAAATGGCTATGGGCAGAAAAACCAAAATGAAAACAATGTGTATCTCTAGAGGGGCCTAAGCAAAAAGGAATAGGTTCAGAGATATGAACCTGTTAAGGTTTATTTGAAATCCCCACTATGCACATTGTTTTATTACTCTGCAGCAGGGCTGTTTTATGACAGTGGGGTTAAGCACTGAGAGTGTAGCTCCAGTGTCAATAAGAATAAAAATAGTTTCCTTACCAATATGAAGAGAAGTTTCTCCAAGCTGATTTAAGAAGAAGGATTGGAAAAGGCCCCTGCAGTTTCTCAGAGCCCCATCATTGGGGATTAGGACTTTGAAAAGGCTGGCTAGAATGCTGAGAGTGTCTGAAATGCTTAAACTTATGGCAATCCCTTTTCCAGTGTCCTGGCTCTTTGCAATAATGGCAGAAGTTTGGAGTCTTTCAGTTTTGCATAGGGCCTCTCATTTGCCAAAGTTGAAAATTAAAAATCTTGGCAATCTTACT